GATTTGTTTCCTTTTGTGACTAGCAGGAATGCCTTCCTGGGCTGCCAAAGTCAATATTGCTTCCAGGGCTGACTGGCTGCAAAATGGGATTCTCTGTTTAAAACTTTGCAATTTTGGAAAGTCTGGCATGGCTGGCTGGAAGCATTTCTTTGCAGAAAGGTGATAAAAGTAATCTTGGACAATGTTGGAGTATGACTGTGTGAAAGGCAAAAACTAGTGTTCCATGGCCTGCTGCGGAACCTGCTGCTAACATGGCCTCCAAATATGTCATTTGCAGATTTGGCACACATTGCCTTGGGCCAGGCCTTGCTTCATGCAGTAGCCTTGCAGAAAGCTGTGCCCACAATGCTGTGCTACTGATTCAAACATATTCAAACAAAAAAGCCCTTGCAGGCAAACGGATTTCAAATGATAGCTCTTGAAGCCAAAACTGAAAAACAACAAGCAGAACCAAGGGCAGCACTGCAAGTTAGTGGTCACTTACTTTCATGCTGGAAAATATGTCTAGATAAGTATGTCAAGAGAAAGCCTAAGCGTTTCTGTTTTCCCCCACTGCCTGTATGATTTACCATTGCTGTGTTTGCATGGTTATTTACCACAAGGCAGCCCACGATCTTTTGTCTGACCAAGGAAATATTTACACTTCCTTTTGTTCCCCTGCTGCCTTTCTTGTTACCAGTTGTTGTATTCCTGTCTTGAACTGAGACTGAGTCCCCCCAAAGTAGGGAGACTGGCACTTGTCACAGCCACTCACACTGCCACGGCATCTCACACATCCATAGATTCCTTTGAGGAAAGCTGGTGTGACATGCTTTGCTTCCTCAGCATTCTTCTTCACAATGGCCTTTTGCTTGGGCTCTGCTTTGGCTAGGGTTTTCTTAGAAGCTGGCCTCTTCATGGCAGTATCCAAATCATTGCCCTTCCTCTTGGTGAGCATGTGTTTGGCCTCAGCTTCATAATCCTCAAGGCTTTTGCCTGGGTGCCATCATTTCCTCCAGCAGGTGCAGCACAGTCAGAAGGTGCAGGTAGAGGCAAAACAGCTGGAACTGCCGGCAAAGCTTTGGGAGTCAGGAGTCCCTTGGGCCGGCCCCATCTGAGAGCAAGGAGTTGCTGGAAGGAGGCTTCTCCAAGCTATCATTGTTCAAGATTTTCTGGCTCAAGGCATCCAAAGCTCTGGCCTGTTTCTCCATCATGTCAAAGAGATGGGTGGTCACCATACTGTTTGTAGGATCTTTCCCTGTCGAAGGCTCTGCTGGCAACTGCTGAGAGGTTGCCTGTGGAGTGGCCACAGCCCTGAGTTCCTTGGCAGTTCCGCTCACCGTGACTTTCTTGGCAATGCTTCCAAGGTTTATCATATGACTGGTAGCGAGCAAGCAGAAAGCCTGCAAGTGTTTATGTTCAAATGGAAATATGTATACGTGTCCATGTGTGTGTGTGTCAGGGATTATGTCATGGCTAAATTTTGACTTCAAAATTATCAGCTTGAAAGCAGCCATCACCAAAGATTCTACAAACCCAGTGCCTCCCCAATGTCGTGGGGGCTAGGTGGGTACCTTGCCAAACCAGCATGCAGAGGTTGAGCCACCACAGCCTCGAACGTATCCAGCACAAAATTTGTACATGTCAAAAACTGGAGGCAAGACATTGGTGATTTCACCTGAAGGCTGACCAAAAAGGATGTCAAGTACTTCTTGGTGTCTTCTTTGAGGCTTTTCAACCCACACACTTTGATTCTTTTGATCAGCATGTGGGTAGCATCAACTGTGTTGATGCCATTCTGCATCTGCTGCCATTCGCTTTGGGACAGGTAGTTCCAAGGCGTGGTCATGCTTTGATTGAAGAGGCTGCCCTTGATTCGAGAAATGCTTGCAACTCTGCCTTCGTGTCAGCAGTCAAGATGCCATTTTGAACAGCATCAGGACGCTTCAAGAAGTTAGAAGCAGCGAGCATTTGGACACCATTCACTTTGGACTGCAAAGCTTCCTGCATTCGTGGCACCAGCTGTGAACCAGCGTTCCTTTGGTAAATCGCTTCCATATCACTAATCTCCTTGACTAAGTCCTCAACGTCCCAAGTAGCCATGGTGATCAAAGGATCTAGGCTAAGGTGAGCCCACAATTCCTATGGGCCCACTGCAGCAGAAGCAGAAGAGAATTGATTCTGCTAACCTTCAAAGTTAGAATTATGACAGCTCCTTTGGGCATGGGATAAAGGAGTTTAAGCCTTTACATGAAAGCCCCTTTGGGCAGAAACAATTTAGTTTACAAAATAAAATGAAAGCCCTATCAGCAAAACCTGTAGCAAGAGTCGGTGGGAATGGGTTCTGGGACCCTTTAAGGTTAGAAGCATATAAACTTCAGTGGGCTCTCATACCCAACCCTGGACCTTTACATGAAAGCCCCTTGGGCATAAACCACAATAGTTTCAAAATAGCAGGAAAGGCCACTGGGCCAGAAGAAAACAAGTACACCACATGGTGTTTTTTTAAAATATTTTTTCTCCCCCCACAGTATTTTGATTCCACCCAAGTATGTTTTCATCCAGGCTTTCCATGCACTATGGGCATACAGCTGCAGCTATCAGGCGCAGATAGCATCGCCAGAAGGAACAGGGACCCCAGCCAACATGTAACTGATTTTGATCAAGTTCTTCAGGCTGGCAGGCAAAAGATGTGGGCCTTCATTCTGCTTGAAGTGCTCAAGAGCATCCTGCCTGAGCAAGCGAGCAATTTGTTTACGTCTATCCTCATACTACCTGAGTTCCCGTATGCTTTAAAAACATGATGAATTTCAACCTGGTAACCAAGAATCAAAGCCTGATTGATGAATCTCGACATACCAGAGGCTCTTCCATCCATTGGATGAGGTCCAGGTTTGAAACTGTCGAGATACCATTGGATCAGTGGCTGAACCCCGTGCCTGACCCCTATTACTGGACATCCTGACAGCTTACACCTTGACAAGAAAAATGCAAAGGACACATGTCTGATGCACTAATGGAACACCAAAACCTGAAGCATCAATGTGCTATACTTGTGACAGCTTCAAAAAATGAAAGCATCAATGTGCTTTTTGGCTAAAAAAATGAAAGCCCTAAAGGCTGCTTATGTAAAAACTACATTATTTTTTTTGATAGTTGTGCCAAATAGTAAACCAAATTAATATCAAAATCTGAAAAGTAAACAATATACTATTGTAGGTTCAAGTTAAGGTTCTGAATTGAAATGCCAACTGTTTGTTTTCCAATTTAGATTTCTGAATTGACATGGAGATTGTTTGATTTTCAATTTGGAATTCTGAATTGAAATGGTGATCGTTTGATTTTCAAGGTAGATTTCTGATTGAAATGGTGAATGTTTGATTTTCTATTAGATTTCTGAATTTAAATGGCGACTGTTTGATTTTCAATTTAAATTTCTGAATTGAAATGGTGACTGTTGGATTTTCAATTTCGATTTCCGAATTGAAAATTGCGACTGCTTTATTTTCAATTTAGAAGCAGAATTGAAATTCTTACTGTTTGATAAGCCCGTGCAATTGGTCCAACAACCCCCAGACCTAGTATCAACAGCGGCTCCCAGTCCACTGCCCTTACCCCAAGTCCTCCTCAGGGTTCAGCTAAGAAACAAAGACCCAAACAACATGAAAGGTGCGCACCTGGAAATTAATTAAGGGATGACGCCAAACCACCACAGCGCATTGATAGCAGTTTTTTTCCCCCTCCATGCACTTAAAATTCAATGGCTGCAGTCAAAGCCATCATCTGACCTGCGCGTGGTTAGGCCAAAACCAGGAGGATGGTTCAGAAAGGTTGAGGTCGATTTGAACCCTTTGCATTTAATAAACTGGTGGGGTAGAGAAGCACCAGGAGGTTCAAAAATGAGCCGCTTCTCCCTTGACACGTGGTTTTCAAAATCCAGTGGCTTCCAAATGCGTTCAACAATTCAATTTCAGCACAGCCGATATCCATTCAATAGCAGCTCCTTTTGCGCAGTGCACAGCACATGCACGGGTCTGTAGATTGAGGCCTACAAGCAGCATTCAACAGCAAAGTATGTACCACTGCTGTACATCCCGCACATACGGTCTAAGGGTACTTTCATTGCTTGTGGCCTTGCCTGTATGGAACCCTTGGCACGACACGAAGAGCTTCTAAGATGGTTAAATTTTACAAATTGGTTCCTTCATTTTCGCGCATGTCAGTAGAACCAATGAGGTTAAACAAATTCATGAAGCTTCTGGAACACAGCTTGCAAAAACACCTGTACAAATTGCACAAACACATGATTCCCCATACAGGACAAGACCTAGAAGCCACGAGGCAATATCACACAAGAGCAATTACTGTATTGATAAAGACTGTGAGTGTGAGTTGTCGCTCGTGTGACCAATCGTTGTGCTACGTAGTCGTTGCATTGGAAGTTGTCATCATCCCTTGTTCATCCACCGCGTTTCATCCCTACACTTTGTCTCAGCCCGGTGCAAAGCTGTTCAACCAATCACTTGAAGTGAATTCACTTCACTTGGTCAAATGCTTTGCATTCTTGTCCACCCGGAGCCCCCGACGGGCTGAGGACCCTGAGGGAGTTTCATGGGCAGAAGAAAACATCGATTCCATGGCTGCCCCAGCGCCGATCGCAAGAGGCTCACATGGCGAGGAAGACACAGGGGTGAGGAACTCACGTGCTTTCTTGTTCTGCGTGTGCTTCTCCGCGCTTTCGCTTTCGAGTCTCTTCACCAGGCCTTGCTGTGCAAGCACCAGGCTAGAGCAGGCACATCCAGAAAACACATAACTATATAGTGATCATACATAAACCAAGTATGACAATGATAAATCAAGTTTACTTCCGTGCTCTGAAAAATCATATGCCATATACTCCGACTCCCGCCACTGCATCCAAGTGCTCAGTTCTAGGCATATAACAAGTATCTTGGGCCCACCAAACGCCAAATGCAGTTCGACGATTACAATAGCCATGATGCCAGCCCTAATGGTTATGCCTACATGAAGCAAAGCCAGTACAAAGAGAATTGGAATACCTTTTCAGAGTCACAGATGTCATCGTGGATGGTCCCATAGGGAATTAAAAACAGATACCTTTGGCTGTCGACCAGAAAAATTGCCAACAAACATGCAAGGCACAATCGTTCTCGATCCAACACAATGAATACCCTGCCCTGGATTTTCTTCACATTGACCATCACGGAATCTTTCTGGTTAAACCTGAGATACCCCATCTCATGTTTGATCTTGTTGGTGACCATGTCGTTGGAATCAGAACTTGCAAAGTGGCGAACTTGAGTTTCAACCGAGTTGTCATACCGCAAAACGAGGGTTGGCTCCACATCCCAAGACTCGACCATAGGCACCATCCATGCTGGACACGGTGTTTCTGCCTGAAGATCTTTGCAATGGGAGCCGTTGATGAAGAACGGAATCTCTGAGCCACCCGCACCTACAAGTGTGGAATCGGTTAGAGTCAAGACTAATGTGTCAATATGTCAATGACTCGATGGTGACCACCGACGGCATAAGAAGCAAGAACTGGTAAAAGAATGTTGAAATGAATCGAGGACGGACAACAGAGTAGCAAACCATCAGCCCGATAGATCAAGAAACTCCTGTAGCTCGAGTAATCTTGTGTTCTACTAGTATATTAGTGATATGGTATGATATGGTTTTGTCCTCTGGAGTCCAAATGTCTTCTCAGAAATCTTTCGTGACTCCTTGCTTTCTGGCACCTTCATCAGGTGTGAGGTGTGACGAAACAGAACCAAGCAATCATCATACACCAAACCTACTTCTACTTTACAATGCACTTTCCACATGATCTTTCTATACTTCTATAACAGCCAAGGGGCAAAGGTCATCCCACGCAGCGCAATCAGCCTCTGCCTCTGCCCTGCAGCTCCACGCATGAAGCCCCAGCCAGTAAATGGTCTTCGGAGGTTTGCCATTGGGAGGCATCCCGGTGCCTAACAATCAGGACCATGGACCAATGGAGACTAGAGAACGCATTGGATGCGGGGCAACCTCCCCGTAACTAAGAAAGAAAATTATTTGAATGTTGAAGTGAAAGAAAACTGTTGCGCAGGCAAAAGATATACACCAAGACCTTCCGACTACCACCGACTCAATGTTGCCAAAGACAATGGTACACCTGCTGTGTTTCTAGTGTGGAGTGGACGTGCGCCTGCTTGTCTGTATAGTGATTGTCTGACAGTCTGACCTTGAACTTGAACATGTCTACAAGTCAACAAATGCATACACATATACAAGCCACTCTTGGCCCTTGGCCCAAAATACGCAACCGAGCTTGCTTGCTGCTAAGATGCAAACATCCCCCCAAAAGAACAAACACATTGCCATGTCCTCCTCTTTGAGAGCCAGCTTCTGGGGTACTCGTATTGAACCTCCCTCACCAATCCAATCAGTGTATATCTTCGCTCGGTCAGCTGGGATCTCGTAAAGCAACTCGGTCGCTGACACCACTTTGGAACCACTGGTAGTTTGCGTCACGTTGAAAACGATCTTCGTCCATGGTGTGTCGCACCTGTAGTCAAAACAGAGATACAAAACAACAAATTGTTCGGTTGAGCATGTTGCAGCATGTTTTTCATGCAAGCAAGGGGCCCAGAGATACACAGCACGGTACTAGGCACAGCAGCAAAGCAACAAAGCTTCCCTCAGCCCAGCCAGGAGTCTGGAGACGCGCATAGGTGAGAATGTTGGCCTGGATCGCCATTCGCACACTGGCCAGTTCGTACGATGATTTGACACCACCTGCAGGCTCATTGCCACCGTCTTGGCCCACACAACCAAATGTTATGAGTCTTCGCAAATCCACCAAATGATGGCCATGTCCTTCAGGCTGCTTCGAATCAGCTCCATTCAATGACCCTTCTCCCGCAGTGCCTCCCTCTGCCTTGCCGCTGCCCTCCTGTGCCTCTGCAGCCGCTGGGGTCAAGTTGTCAATGATAGGTTTTTCATCAAATGTCCCATCTGTCAGCAAGTCATTGATCATTGGTCCCCAAATGGAAGAGACCAAGCATGGATCCCCTAGGTCGCACAGGCTGTCAATCTTCAGGATGGATTTGCCAAACTTTGGCAAAAGAGTTCTGATTCTGGTTGATGCATCTGCAAGTGCCAATGTCTTCATGTACTCAGAGGGCTGCTTGCCCAGGTTCATGTCGATCTTTCTTCTGCCCAGCGCGTAGATGATGAGTCGACTCATGTAGTTGGCACGGATGGACGTCAAAAACACAACATGATCAAGTTTGACAACGTCCTTGATGTCATCGGGCAAATCCGGAAAGCCACCCTTCTGCGCAGCCACCATCTTTGACAAATGCCTTCCAAATGCCACAACGCCATCTGGGAGTTCCTTGGCACAAATGTTGGACACCTCGAAGACGAGGTCCAACACATCCACGCTATGGGAATGGACCAGGCAATGATCAGCATTGGTCCTGCAAAGTTTTCAATGAAGTTGATGTGGCTGATGGAAGTAGCTCACATGCACGCATCAAGTGGTAAGTCACCAACAGCAACAAGCTATCCAAGACAGGACCTTTCAGTAAAGGACAAGAGTCTAAGTCATGGGGCCCATCATGGCCCACCTGTGCTCAGTCGAATTGATGGGAAAGGAAATTGAGGAAACAAGAGCAAGGCAACAGGACTTGCAAGGCAAAGAAACTCCTACTATCAAACAGCTCCACCTGCACAATCAGTAAAGGTCATTGGATTCACATGCATACTCTCATAGAGTCCAAAAACCATTCGCATGCGCTTGAGCCCCCTCTCCTCATGTGACCGCATGAACACATAGCATCCCACTCAGCACACATGCGAGCATAGCCTGCGTGCTTGCACACAACCCCGCTCAAAGGTTCAACATCCAGTGGGGAAGCTTGACTGCCCATGTTCAAAGCTTCAGCACTCAACCATTTCGAAAAAATGGGAACAGCTACCGCATCAAAGTTCGACACTGCACTCGCTGATGAATCTGAACTTCTTGAACTTTCACTCAACAGGATCAGCACGTTGGTGTCTCCATCGCTGCCGCCCGCCATTCTTGGTGTTGCTCTCACAGCCTCAGTTTCAAAGGCTTTGGTTTACACAAATTATTGCATGCGTGGGGATGATTTGTCGTGGTGTCGCGTTGGCATGTAAATATGCCTGCAGATTCAAAGCTGGGAAAGACCTGAGCAACAACACAACACAACACCAACAACACCACGCGTTAGTGCTTGTCAAATGTTTGCCAGGACAGAATGACACAAACAGCCTGAGCATGAACAGGCGAAACATAATAACATGCCAAGGAGCTGCTTTTGCCATATTGATTGCAACTTGTTGGATCTGTGGCCTGCAAACCGACCATCTATAGATGCCTTTCCCGCTCAACATCAGCTTCTTGTCAAAGGCGAAGTCAATGCCCAAGCCCACGCACCTCCGCAAGATGGGGTAGTCTGAGTCATGGTAGAAAATCTCATCGTGCCCGACTCGTCCAAGAGAAGCTGGAGGCTCGACAGGTTTGGACCCTACAGGCAAACCAATCGAAGCAACAGCACTTTTGAGAGCAGAACGGATCCCCCCAAGCAAGCAGTCCAAGAAAAACTTCTGGCGAGAGGCTGTCACACCAGCCACTTCCACTGCAACGTTGTCCAGCTGCTGTTCAGGCTCAGGCAAGATGTCAACTTTGATGTCAACGGATGCATGTTCCCCATCCGCACCTACCGGTTTTGATCTCTTGCCTGCTTGCTTTGCTTTCGCTTTGGCTTTCTTGCCTTTGGACTGTTTGGATTGCTCATTGATCTTACTCCCCTGCATCGGTGTCAGCAAAATGGAAAGATCTGCTCCTGAACCCTGTCCTCTTTTAAAGATCCATGGCGGCGTGGAAGCCACGCCTGAAGTTGAAGCTTCTGAAGACGACATGATCATCGGCACCTTAAAGAAGGGAAGCTGGAGGAAAGGGAAATGCCCCCTGGTACTTTCCATTCTGCCGTCTCAAACTGTCAAACCATGTCAAACCATCTTTGTTCCAAAGCAACAAAATGAATACATCACAGTCTATCAGTTTGAGTGCAATCTCAATACCCAAACCTGAAAATATAATTCACTGAGACATTAATGTGGCTCAATGTGGAAGGTTGAAGTCTGCGCTGAAGAGGACCCATAAGAGATTAAGCTTCCTACACAACGCAGCAGCATCTCCATGACAATTGCTTTCAGCTCCAACCAGCTGAAGCCACTGCTGAAGTTGTTCTGAATGAGGGTGAGAACATCCTTCATGACGTTCAACACGGACTCATTCTGAATCTCCGGATTGAGAAAATCGCATGATTTCCCCAGTTCGTCCTTCAAGTCCTCTAGGATACCAAATTTGCACGCCATGTTGTACACCCCCCTCGTGGCTTCAAAGCTCCTCCATGAGCTCCAACATTCAGGAAAAGACTTGCTGATCATGCCAAAGTAAGCGGTTTCGTAGCCAGAAGCTCGTGAGCGCATGTTGGTAGACATCTTGAAAAGTGCCCATTCTTTTTCCACCTGTGACGGTTGTGTCCAGGAAAAGCTTTAAGTATCAGCATGACACTGAAGTAGAATTTCAATGGGATTTGCTTCCAGGAGTTGGAGGAGGTTGGAAGCATATGCTGCTTAGAGTTGCACAGTTAATTGGACCCTTTTCCAAGTTAATTAATAAAGTAATCAATTCCGAACCTGCATCAAAACAGAACGCTTTAGGTAGTAGAATTTGTAGAAAGAAAGAAAAGGTCACAGTGCGAATTAAAGCTGTCACATTCCCAGAGACAGATCTGAAGCAGTCACAACTCCACAAACGATCACCTGCATGTGCATCATTATATCCACCCCCCAAAAGCTTCCCACACCCCATATCCAGACCATGGCCATCACCACCCTTCAGACACCTGCGGAACCTTCAGTATCAACTCCAGGAAACTGGTTTTGCTCCCTCTGTGGAACTGATTGTGATAGTCGGTCCTCCGTTGCAGCGAAGCTATCATCAGTAGCCGTAATGATCACGAAGTAACACAGTAGCATGAGGACTAGGACGGACTAGGAGAGGAATCAACTTGGCCGATGTAGTCAGATGTCTTTTCAAAATGTCACAGCAAAAGTACAAGGAGAAGAGAGAAGGATAGAAAAGGAATATATCCATGATGAAGCCCATGGCGCATGTCACTCTGCTTGATTTAACACTTGTCATTTCTCAATCTGTGAGTTCTGAAACTGAAACAAACAGCTTCTTGAAATATACCCCAAGGCTCAGGAATTGTAGGACCGACTTTGGGCACCGGCAGTCAAATACCGTCACGTCCAAGCCTGCCTTTTTGGTCCCCTGAACATTCGCATTGGATTCGATCCCAGGCTCCTGCAAAACCTCATACAGAGCATCTGTCCTGAGATGGGTCATCAGTGACTGTCCAATGGAACCCTTTTCTCTGGACATCGCTTTGAGCTTGAGCTCGGGCAATTGTCTGCGCCAATAATTGATATATAAAAGCATCTATTATGAATGATTGTATCAACAACACTGTGGACCATGTCAAACCATGTCAAACCATGTCAAACACAAAAACAAATTGATAAGGAAATTCAGTTGGATCACGTCATTGCTGAGGCACCTCCTGTCTGGCATTACCATTCTGCGTGGACTTTACAGACAGGCCAAACTGACAATGCCAAACCTGGTCCGGTTCACTTGATACATTCCAAGTCTCAGAGTTCCAAATGTCAAGGCTTTGTAAGCAATCTCGCCCTTGTCAATGTTCGGGGCCTGCATCCATGCCTTTCCCCGCACCTCTCGGACTACCCCACGTTGCCTCACTGAGTCTTTGTACTCCTGCAAGACCTGTGCCTGCTTCCTGTCATTCAGCGCATGGCGGTGGATGTTGCGCTGCCCAGATGCTGTGAAGAACGGAATGTTCGAAACATTTGAAACCTCAATGCAGAAACCGCGCAGAACAACGAGACAGAGAATAGAATTGCTCAAACTGCGCGTCACACCACCTTCAAGAAGAGACCTATGCTGAAGTTACAAAAAAGGGACCATGAACTGAGATTCAGAGTTTGTAGATGCAGTGCGCATGTAAAACCTAGATGATACATGCTATGTATCTGCGCACTGTGATCTACACACTATGGTCCGTTAGTCTATTAGTCTATGGTCTTCTTTACAGCGATGCCAAGACTTTTCAAACAAACATATCTGGCTGCCTTTGGCTTCAACACCCCCCAGGCATGTACACTGACTGACGGACAGTAGTCGAGTTGCTTTGTACGTGCTGATGATGGTTTCCAGCAGCTCCCGGCCTGGCTTGGCGTCTTGTCCAAAGATTTCAGGGATCGTCGCTTCATACGAGAAGATCTTGCCATGGTCAAGGGTGATTGCGGAAGCCATGTCTGGCAACGCGAACTTGTGAACGAGTGAGACTCTGTCCCCGTTCCCGCTAAACAACAAACAAACGTTCTTCGAATGCAACCTACGACACAGGTTTCCATGTGGCACAATTCCAAAGGTTCGAACATGCTTGAAATAATACTGCCATCGGTCTGGTCGGTTTGACTCACATTCAAAGTTCGAGTTGTCTCACCTACATCGGAGCAGGGACAGAGCATGCAGTCATGCATTGGCAGGCTCGAAGGTTGAGCCACCATGAGCTTGGGAACAAACCACGGTGAAGGTAACCACACTGTGTCTGCACAGGGTGCGGCACCTACATGTCCTATGTAGCAGCGCAACAAACATGATGTGAATCCTGCGGGTGGCAAGTGGGTTGCCAATGCTGCCAATCTGCCAGAATTCAAGAAAATTGTGAAAACCAGAGAAACATTCAGTCAATTGAGGACAATCAAAAACAACGCATAATCCTCAGCCTCCAGCCTCACTTCTCCAAAATCATAAAACCATCTTTCTCAGTCTTTCAACTATTGCCATGAAATTGCTGCTTGTGAGTGGCAGCCAATAATCCCTTCCTCCTAATACTAATCGTCCCCCTAATACTAAAAACAGGCATCCATCTCCAATTTCCGAAAATTTCAGTTTGGCCAATTTGACTTTTAATTGATCCCCTTTAAAAAACAATTCAAAAATCATCCTACCATTTGTGGGTTCTCCCCCCTAATACTAAAAACTAATTCATCCCGGGGTGTTTAGTATTAGGGGGGCTAGTTTTTAGTATTAAGGGTTTTAATTTAGTATTAGGGGTAAGCTTCGAACTGCCATTTTTGGCAATATTTTAATTGCGTTATATAAGGAAATTTAATTGATTTTGAGATCGGAAAAAATAGTTTTTAGTATTAAGGGTTTTAATTTAGTATTAGGGGTAAGCTTCGAACTGCCATTTTTGGCAATATTTTAATTGCGTTATATAAGGAAATTTAATTGATTTTGAGATCGGAAAAAATAGTTTTTAGTATTAAGGGTTTTAATTTAGTATTAGGGGTAAGCTTCGAACTGCCATTTTTGGCAATATTTTAATTGCGTTATATAAAGAAATTTAATTGATCTTGAGATCGGAAAAAATAGTTTTTAGTATTAAGGGTTTTAATTTAGTATTAGGGGTAAGCTTCGAACTGCCATTTTTGGCAATATTTTAATTGCGTTATATAAGGAAATTTAATTGATTTTGAGATCGGAAAAAATAGTTTTTAGTATTAAGGGTTTTAATTTAGTATTAGGGGTAAGCTTCGAACTGCCATTTTTGGCAATATTTTAATTGCGTTATATAAGGAAATTTAATTAATTAATTAACATGACTTCGATTTGGTTCCCTAATAATAAATACCCCCCTAATACTAAAAACTACCTGCCGTGTTTTGTATTAGGGGGGGGGGTTTAGTATTAGGAGGAAGGGATTAATTTTTCTTCCAATGTCTCGCCTGAAAGGAAACAGGCGACTGCTCAAGACAACCGGCACACTCCCACAGCCTAGCTGTCGAGACATGAGACAATAGAATCAAGCCTTCTGGGCCGTACTCTTGCTGCGATCGTGATAACCACTGGTGGGTCATCACCAACTCTTTGACTCATTGCAGTTCGGAACATCATTCACCATTCGGTCATCAGCGACGGATGACTTGGGCCCCAATCAGTCCTCGAGAAAGAAGGTCATCGGATCAGCCGATGTTCTGGAAGAGGTAGAAGAGGCTGCGTGTCCACGGCATCCAGCATCAGATTCTGAACGCTTGCGTTTCAAAGTGATCTGCTGTGGGATCTTACTTCTGGACGAGCGAACAAGTATGCGTACTAGATGCTTGTCAAGTACTGTCTGGGTCAAGCAGTACAAAAAGATAACGCCAGAGACATTGCAGTGCATGCTGTTTCCACTCATCTTGGCTATGCTTGCCCGGCTTGGCCATTGCTTGGTTTCTGTCAATCCCTCTGACATTCTGGCACTAAAGCTGCAGCAAGCCACATTGAAACTCCAGCGTGGCCTCAGTGGAAAACCTTGGCACACAAGCAGCTCACGTGGAGTGAGCCATCGACTGTGGATCGATGAGTACCATAGAGAAGCCGAGCCGATCAGAGTCGCCATCGCCTAAGTAAACTGGAAGGAATCGCACGAAGAACAAACCCTGGCCCCGTTAAACTGAGATCACACACACAGACACCCTGACCCTCGTACATACAACATTCTCCCCCGGTGTTCTTCATTGCTGTAAAAAGAACCCTACAAACCAAGACATACTAGATGTAGTACAAACTGAGTACAAATATTTGAGAAAAACCATTTGCACTGCATGCAGAAAAATGAAATTAGGCGGATATGCATGAATACTTTCTACGTAAGCAATACTTCTTCTTTCATATGCAAGATAAATTGCCACAACATATCATATCATATCATATCATATCATATCATATCATATCATATATATATGTCTGATTCATAGATACAGACCTTTTTGGCAAGATCACAGACAGACGGACGGACAGAGACAAACAGACAGACAGACAGACAGACAGACAGACAGACACATACAGACAGACACATACAGACAGACACATACAGACAGACACATACAGACAGACACATACAGACAGACACATACAGACAGACACATACAGACAGACACATACAGACAGACACATACAGACAGACAGACAGACAAGCAGAAAGACAGCCAGGCAGGCAGGCAGACAGGCAGAGTCTCAGACTCAGACACTGACACTGACGCAGACACGGAGACAGACAGACAGCCAGACAGCCAGCCAACCAGCCAGACAAACAGACGGACGCACGGACAGGCATGCAGGCAAGCAGACAGGCCGAGTGTGTGTGTGTGGGTGGATGCCACCATTACATTACTAAGACTAGAAGGCTACACAAATCAAATCCCTGGAAAGCTCTCCCTGGAAAACTTACTCCCCAACCCATCAAGTGGACCACATGACCTGTCCATTTGATTTCATGTTCGTCACATCCGGGTCTTGGTTGAGGCTGTACATACCCATGGGTGACTCCTTCAAATACTTTGCCAAGAATTTGGCCTCATTTTCGGTGAGTGTAGCTGCAAATGCAGACGGATCCTTATGTGAAGGTGGCACTGCGTCATCCCACATCGAGCTTGGACGCGAGGAAGCCCAGCGAAGCTCTTCATCGAGTTGCTCAGCATCTGTCCTTGTCACAGCGCAATCAAATGAGAACTTGATAGAGAAGAGACAAAACCCGGGAGTGGAGTGGTGGTGGTGGTTGTGGTGGACACCATTCAGTCAAATACAAGCTGCACTGTCTTATTCCTACATCATTCATTTCAGATTCATTTCACCTACTAGGGAGCTCGGGGTCCAGTACACATATTCTACATAGGAAGCATTGAGCGAACTGAACTAAGGGCAGAACTCCCAAAAGAACATTGACCAGCTGGCTGAAGGGGAAAGTGTTCTCGAGAACATCCCAGTAAACACGTTGAGCAGAGAGCGGAAAGCCAATGTCTTGACACGATGACGCCCCCTTAGCCGTTGCATACCGTTAATGCGGCGTCAGACTACTTGCAAGCTAATGTGTAATGGGACATTGGCCTCGATCTCGTCATGCAATTATCTCTATCTCAGAAAGTGTGAACTGTGAAAAGTGCGCAGTTCAATTCAAGGTTCCAGGTCAAAAGGTTTCTGTTTTTCCCAAGGTGTCGCAACCGCAAGCAACAACATATACGGACATTGGACGATTGATGACTGTAATTTAATTCTAGGTTGAATGATGCTCGGTGGACTGGAGCAACTTGGAACCTGGCACTGCCCACTGTCTGTCTCGAGAGATGGGCCATCCAAGCTCCAAGGGGTTCAACGTGGTAAAGGACCACTCCCACTCGGGCAGATGCAAAGTGAAGAATGTCCGAGGAAAACTGAGGACATTTTCCTGGACAATTATTGGTTCCTCCAAGCGCTTCCTCATTCCCAGCCATATGATGAAGAAGCTAAAGGAATAAGCCATTTCTTCCTCCTGAAGGCCTATTTGAGAATGCGCAGTGCAAGGTGTGCCTGCAAGGTGTAGATCTGCCGGCCCTTCAATGGTGCAGGTCCTTTCATGGTTCAAGCAATAGGCCGACCTCAGCAAACAGCAACAAACGGTATGTTGGGCCAGTCAATTGCCTCATCCTCACGCTAGTGCTTTAGCAAAACAATCCTTGCGACTTGCACAAGTATACCAGTGTTCCTTGACATTCTAAGAATATCTACAATCACGATTTCAGTGGTTCATGTCCTACATTAGATTTAGAAGATTTGACTATGTCCTGTCAGTCTGTCGGTCTGTCAATCAGTCCGTGTAGTCTGTAGGCAGATCAATACTCCCTCAATCAAAGTCAGTGAAGTGCAGGTAAAGTAAGGTCCCGGTAGCATGGGGAATGAAATTCAGGCAACTGAAGGCAGTGAGAGATGGCTACCGATCTACACCGCCTAGCTTGTGAGGTCCCAGGTCCGTGTCAGTAGCTGTCAGCAAGGCTAGGGACAGTCACGTTGCGCTAAGCCGTTGGCAGGGAAATCGTTGATTGAGGAGAGCTTTTAACCCAAGGCAGCAAGACAGTCTGCAGCTTGTTCTCATCGGCCAACTGCTGCAACCGACTTCTGACACATGGTGCTGCAAAATCAGCTATGTCAGAAAACAACCAGCGTGGACCAGCTGGGTGTTTCTTCAATTCCCGTTGGCTGTGGGGTTCCCATTCAATGCCAAAAGTATGTTTGCCATCTTTTCGAATTGCTTTCTCCAATTTGGCCCCCAACTGCTGCAGTGACCTACGCTTTCGTCGATTCAACTTGACCCCAAGCTCGACCGCCAGTTGGTTCAACGCGGTGCCTGGGCTATCTATGCCTGAGAAGGATGTGCTGAAGCATGTGTAAGACATACGTTTCTGCAAGTTTTTTAGGCACTGGTAAGCCTCATCCTCTTCACGACGTTGATGGCCCAAGTTGCTGTCCTCAGACCCTGCTGATTCTGACGAATCCGAGTCACTGGCGAGATCCCAGGAAGAATCATGGAACTGCTTCTCGGCGTGAGCATACTGGTCCAAAACGAAGCTGGGCCAGCCTCACCAAATTAGAAAATGGACACGTGCTGGCAAAAGCACCTACCTGTTGAGTCTGCTGCTTTAGTTACTTTAGTTCATTAAACAAAAATCAAAGAGACACACGCAATGCAATTGGATTGAAGTTTCACCGCCTCAGCCGGGACCAGGCTTACAAGTTCAACCTGTTCTCACAGCCTTCCAAATCAAGAAAGCAGCTCGCACATGAGGAAGCAGATCATGTTAGGCATGATACTACCGAAAAACCTTCATATCTATGGCGATTGGTAAGGCGCCCTCTCAAACAAAGAGAGCAGAGCGTGGCACCAGATGAGGACATTAAGAGTTCGTCCGTGAGTCAGGGAACTAAATTTGAATTAAAGCCGGATGAACTATATAACTAGCGGCCACAGCAAAGCTTGGAATCGCAAAGCCCAGTCACGGTATGCATCATTCAAGGTCTCCACGACTGAAGGATTAGCAGAATCACCAGCTGCACAATCAAAGCCCGTCGTTGTGCCGCAGTGCTCCCCGCCATCAGCTGCCATGCTGTAGTCTGGACAAGGAGACAAAATCTCTGGTTCGAGAGCTACGTCGCCATCAGCGCCATCAGGGCCATCATCCCCGCCAGCCTGCATCTTGTGGGGTGCTGATCATTGGACATGCTGTGGGGTGCTGATCATTGGACAGCGATGATGAAGATTCCAACATCTAGTCAACACACCTAACCGCTGTCCAGCGTACACACATACGATCCGCGAGACATACAGACATACAGAGAGGAAAGGCAAAATACTTGCATGAGCTAAGAGACGGAGCAAAACACAAATACACCATTAAAAACATCTCCAATACCGTCCAATACCCAACGGGACCCAACACCAGCATCACAGGGCTGAAATGCTACAAATATGCTCTGCGTCAATTGCTTAGAAGATGCCTTCTTAGCCTTTTAATTCTTTCTGTCAATTGCTGCTATTGCAGTTGCCAATTTACTTAGTTCACCCCTTCACATTTCCTGAATGGGTAAGCACCAGACGCGGTGTGTCTGCCTGTGCCTCTGAAGGAAGTTGCATCCATTCCTCGGCAGCGGCCTCGTAAGATTGAAGACTGCAAGGATCACCAAAGCCAAGGTCGCCCAACCCACTGCCTGAGTCATGTGGGAACAAAGGCACACACATACGCAGGAAATACAATAGCTACACTGCTAGAAGAAGCTGATGGTCCCAGGTACCAAGAGACAAGATTGGCCCTAGATGCTGCTTTAAGCTCTGCGTCTCATCTTGCGTTCAGATTGCAAAGGGGAAAAGCAATGAGAGAAGAAAGGAATCCAAAAACCAACATATCATGTGTGGATCATGTGATCATGTGTGTGTGCGCGCATTTGTGCGTGCGTCTTGTTTCAAAACCTATAGCGCGGCATGGCACCTGAAGTCAAGCTAAGCAGCTAGGCGTATGTTTGACACTTGGGTCGTGACTGGGTCGTGACTCCTTCATGCTTTCATGCCGCATGCTCGCTTGCTTGAAACCTGGTTGGACCCTGGGCATTTCCTCCCATTGCTTGCGCCACATGCAACCTAGATATTAGAAGATAGAGGAGGGCACAACGCCAATCAACACCAAGCTACAGGAATTCATCATAGCCTCATCCTCGGAATTCTTGGCAGTCTGAAGGCAAGGAGGTCGCGGTGTATGCGATGGCTGATCATCACACTTGCCAGACTTGTGCCTGGGCGCAGCTGTTTATTGGAAGCTTCCAGTGCCCAACAACCAAAAACACAGCAAATCAAACGCAAACACAGTAGATATCAATATGCAAATATAAACATGTTATGTTACATATCATATTTGGATATTGGCGCAGCACGCCCTCGTTGTGAGATGCCCGCAAGCATGCACTTGAACGAACCATCAAACCAAAGGAACGATAAACAAATAAAGTGCCAAACTGAAGATGAAGATCAAGTGTGAGTCAAGATGTACAAATTGCTGACTGACAACTGTCAGCTGACTGTCAATCCTGACTGAACGATTCGGATCAAGGCGCTCCACATGCTCCACGAAAAGGTTTCCGGCAGCAGTAGGAGAAGCTTCAAGGTGTTCAGGGTTTGGTGTTGGCGTCATGTTTGTGATCCCAATGCCATCACCTGAACCATGAACACCTGTCGCGACTTCCGCAGATTGCTCTGCTCTCGTTTTCTGATCATCATTCACCGGGGTGCTAGTCTTTGCAGTCTCTACCCCGGACATAGAACCAACACCGACTTCATTCTTGCTGTTTGCTGGGGGTTGGGACACCGTATGTTGGACCTCTACCGTCTCACACACTGCGTGATTTGACATGCCTTGGACCTCTGTCGCTGGACGCTCCTCACACGTTGAGGGATCTGACGGTTTTGAAGATGATGGGCTCGAAGATTCACATGTTGCACACGAACCACTGACACCATGCCCAACATCGTCCTGACCCTTACCCATGGCATGTTCCTGCTCCTGCTCAGAACAGCTCTGAGCTGATTGAGAACCCACAGGTTTCATTGCAACCCATTTCGACAAATCTTGGCACTTTGTCTCAAAGGTTGCTGTGCCCCAACCTGATCGAACATTGCAGGACACTTTGGTGGGCGGCATCAATTGCTTGACACATACAACCACAAGCGCGCTCACCGCACCCTTCAAACCATACTTGGTCCTGACCTCGGTCAACGAAAGCAAATCCAGATGGTGAGACTTCAACGTGTTGACAGGCTGTGCGACTTTCCCGTCATGCATCTGAAACACTGCAAACACTGTAGCGGTGGCTACAACTTTGCGTAGTGCACCTTTGTCATGAGGACCAAGCAATGCAATCACCTGTTTGTCGATGTTCGCAAACTTGCGGGGAACCGTGCTCCTGAAAAGAACATCGCTAGTGAGCAGGGTGGAAGTAAAAAAACACTTGAGACAAACCAGAGTAGTTGATGAGTTCTTGGCTGAAGAACATTCTTCAAGTAGAGGTGCAGAGATGTGCTGGCACACACACAAAAAGAAACAACAAATGGCTGTCATGAGGTCATGTGGACGTTCTCTCCTGTAAAGTGTAAACTTTGTCAAGCTGGTGATGCCCCTGTCTTTGTTCTCGGTTCCTAACAAGTATGGGTCATCTTGGTCAGAAAGTACTAATGCAGGCATTGCATCATGCTTCACCGCGGTCGCAGCACCATCTGTGTGCATTGTGGCTTCCCACAATGCAATCCAAAGTGATATGTATGGCTGTTTGTTGTATGTGTTTCGAACTATTCCACTAACCCTTCATGGTGTTTTTTTTGATAATATAAACCACATTTAAAGAAGTGTGTATTGACAATAAACTTCAAAAACTATTTAATATGTATCTGTGAAAAAGACTTATATTGAAAAGAACACGTGGTAGCAGTTGCAGCGGCAGTAGCGCCGTAAAGAGTTAACATGAAAACTAACAAAAAAACCACATGTCATCACTGTGAGCCATACATGAATCAAGTTTGGCTTCGATATCGAAAGCTCCAAGTGCCAGAGTATGTCACGCCTGCAAAGCCCCCCCTCACCTCCCATACCCCCTACCCTTCCAGCGCCCTGCCCTTCGACCCCTCCACCCCTCCAGCGCCCTGCTCTTCGTCCCCCCCTGCCCCTCCAGCGCCCTGCCCTTCGCCCCTCCTACCCTCCAGCACCCTGCCCTTCGTGCACCCTACCCCTCCAGCGCAACGCGCTTTCGTCCCCCTACCCCTCCAGCACCCTGCCCTTCGACCCCCCTACCCCTCCAGCGCCCTGCCCTTCGCCCCCCTTACCCCTCCAGCACCCTGCCCTTCACCCATCCTACCCGTCCGGGCCCCTGCCCTTCGCCCCCACCCCCACAGCCGCCCTGCCGTCGACCCCTTACCCTCCGCGCCCTGCCCTTCGTCCCCCTACCCTCCAGCGCCCTGCCCTTCGTCCCTACCCCTCCAGCGCCCTGCCCTGCGACCCCCCAACCCTCCAGCACCCTGCCTTCGTCCCCGTCACCCTTCCAGCGCCCGCCCTTCGACCCCCCTGCCCCCCTACCCCTCCAGCGCCCTGCCCTTCGCCCTTCCTACCCCTCCAGCACCCCTGCCCTTCGTCCCTCCCTACCCCTCCAGCACCCTGCCCTTCATCCCCCATATACCCCTCCGGCAACACCTGCCCTTCGTGCACCCTACCCCTCCCGCGCCCTGCCCTCGCCCCCCCTACCTCTCCAGCGCCCTGCCCTTCGCCCCCCCCCCACCCCTCCAGCGCCCTGCCCTTCGTCCCTCCCTACCCTCCAGCGCCCTGCCCTTCGTCCCCCTACCCCCAGCACCCTGCCCTTCGGCCCCTGCCCTCGCCCCCCCTTACCCCTCCAGCACCCTGCCCCTTCACCTCTCCTACCCGTCCGGCGCCCTGCCCTTCGCCTCCACCCCTCCAGCGCCCTGCCCTTCGCCCCCTTACCTCTCCAGCGCCCTGCCCTTCGTCCCCCCTACCCCTCCAGCGCCCTGCCCTTCGCCCCCCTATCCGTCCAGCGCCCTGCCCTTTGCCCGCTAGCGCCCTGCGCTTATCCTTCCAGCAGCTTCCCTCCGTCGATACCCTCCAGCACCTGTAAGCTGAGCGCTCTTGGAGGGTTTGGGCAAATCATGATTTCGAATTTGCTGGTGAGTTAAAAATGCTTCTTATCTGAAAATACGTTTGTTTGAATAACACATTGAAATTGCTTGCAATTGCTGTTCATGCATTCCAGCTTCAACCTCATTCCAATGTATATCCACAAAATGTTTTCCACACAACAACAATGACTTTGTAAAGATTCACTTTTTTCCGAATATCATCAATATCATCCA